CAAAGCACAACATCTCCAGGTGAACAGAACCGGTCGCTATGCATACATCGGACATCTGCACAGTACCCCGCTCCCCAGCCAGCGACGAAACTACCTCCTACCCAATGGCAAACAGAAGTAAGAACCACCCCAGCTCAACCAGAGGGCGGGCAATCACCTAGCAGCGACAGAACCACACAGAGGTAGCTGCTCCTGAACGGCTTATAGAAGATAACCCTGAGGCCGCAAAGGCAGTACTTATGGGGCACCTAGGGAAGGTAGCCCTAGGTGCATGCAGCCCCAGTACTTTTGTGTTACTCCTGGCTTGCACACCACCAACACAGAGCAACAACACTGCTAAGCAGCACTGTGCAAAGAGTGGAGCCAGAGCAATCGACCGTCACCAACACAACAGCCTCTTGGGCTGAAGAGAGTTGCCGGCGAGAAGGTCTGGGACCCTCCAGTCCCACTCCCAGGGAGAAGGAGTTGCGCAAGCGGAGGGGGGGGGGTGAACAGACGGATGTGCGGTGGTTGTGGTGACGTCATGTTTGTTTTCTTGTCTTTGATTGGGGAGTTCTGTTTGCAATTTTCGACCAGCAGTAGTTTGTTTTGGAATTTCTACCTTTCTGGGTGCCTGACTTGGTAGATGGCAGACAAAGACTGCTTCCAATTACACGGGTGTCTTTAGGTCATTCCTCCTCGTGCCTCTCTCGAGGGGGCCAGGTTCTGGCTCTGGTTCCCAGTAGATCTAGAACTCCTTCGATTGACTGTTGCCACGGTCTAATATATACACATCTGCCTGGTATAGCTCCGGGGAGCCAAAGGGGCTCTCCACAGAAAAGAGGTGTTGACATAGCAAGTGTTGGAGAGAGGTCTGCTCTGCCCAAGCTGTCAGGTGGGAGTTGCCACAAAGATATTATTACCTAATTATTTCAATGTCTGATTTTTTTTAAGTCTTTTTGCAGTAAAATTATTCAATAATGTGTATTGTGATATATTGATATAATAAAATGTGTGAATCATGGTTATACAGTACTTAAAACTATTGTGATCATATTAGTGATTCAATATTATATTCATAAAACAACAAACAAATAGTTTTGCTGTTATTACACTATATATACACACAAGTTATATATAAGTATCTACATGTTTTGTTCACCATAACTGTTCAACTAAGCTGGTATAGCACCCAAATAGCATAGTGGCCACCCTTACAGAGCATGACAAGTAATACAGATGTCGCCACCTCCCTCACCAAAATGGCTTCTCCCAACACTCCTTTCACTGTTATTACACTATATATACACATTATATATAAGTATCTAAATTTGTGTTCACCATAGCAAACAATTAAGCTGGTATAGTACCTACAGACAGCAACAGGTGGCCACAGGTGAGCCACAACAGGTGACCACCTAGTGACCACTTATGTCAGACCAATCCTGGAGTATGCAGCCCCAGCATGGAGTCCATATCTAGTCAAGCGTAAGACTAAACTGGAAAAGGTTCAAAGGTTTGCCACCAGACTAGTACCTGGACTGAGAGGTATGACCTACGAGGAGAGACTACGGGAATTAAACCTCACGTCGCTGGGAGACAGAAGAGTTTGGGGGGACATTATCACCACGTACAAGATTCTCAGAGGAATTGACAGGGCAGATAAAGGCAGGCTATTTAATACAAGGGGCACATGCACTATGGGACACAGGTGGAAATTGAGTACCCAAATGAGCCACAGAGATATTAGAAAGAATTTTTTTAGTGTCAGAGTGGTTGACAAAAGGAATACATTAGGCAATGATGCTGTGGAGGCTGATTCCATACACAGTTTCAAGTGTAGATATGATAGAGCCCAATAGGCTCAGGAACCTGTACACCAGTTGATTGACAGTTGAGACGCGGGACCAAAGAGCCAGAACTCAACCCCTGCAAGCACAAATAGGGGAGTACACAGATTCGGCAGACGACGCTACAGCCCTCCCACCCTCAACATTAATCCTCCCACAGCACAGTGCAAATTATCACAACAATCCTGCTATTATCAGAATCCTGGTCATTTTTATCACAGTCAGAAGTCTTCTGTAATACTGTACTATCATCAATAAATAATACCAGTTACATATACTTTTGACATTTTTAGGCAATGCTGTGGTCACAAGCTGAACAGCAGTGCTGTGAGCACATGCTGTGTGCGCCAGCCTATGTACATATTAAGATCCTAATAATAGATAGCGGGCAACCAACCAAAGGCAGACCTCCCCCACCAGGCAGGAAAACAAAAACAAAATAAAAGCCCCGCAAGAGGACAACGTACTGAAGCGGAACAGAGCCGGCCACTATAATAGGTGAAAAATAGTTGTGCAGTACCCCTCGCCTCTACCACTGATGAAAACTACCTCCTACCCAGAGGCAAACAAGGGCAACAAAAACCCCAGCCGACTCCAAGGGCAGCCAATTACCGAGCAGTAAAAGACACAGCAGAGGTAGATCCCAAGATGACTTATGGAAGGTGGCCCCA